TAGATGTGCGTAGATGTATGTAAATGTGTGTGTAGATGTGTGTAGATGTAGATGTACGTGTGTAGATGTAGATGTGTGTAGATGTAGATGTACGTGTGTCGATGTAGATGTGCGTAGATGTATGTAAATGTGTGTGTAGATGTGTGTAGATGTAGATGTACGTGTGTAGATGTAGATGTGTGTCGATGTAGATGTACGTGTGTAGATGTAGATGTGTGTCGATGTAGATGTATGTAAATGTGTGTGTAGATGTAGATGTGTGTAGATGTAGATGTACGTGTGTAGATGTAGATGTGTGTAGATGTATGTAAATGTGTGTGTAGATGTGTGTAGATGTACGTGTGTAGATGTAGATGTGCGTAGATGTACGTGTGTAGATGTCGATGTAGATGTATGTAAATGTGTGTGTAGATGTGTGTAGATGTAGATGTACGTGTGTAGATGTAGATGTACGTGTGTAGATGTAGATGTGCGTAGATGTACGTGTGTAGATGTCGATGTAGATGTATGTAAATGTGTGTGTAGATGTAGATGTACGTGTATAGATGTAAATGTGTGTAGATGTACGTGTGTAGATGTAGATGTGCGTAGATGTACGTGTGTAGATGTCGATGTAGATGTATGTAAATGTGTGTGTAGATGTAGATGTACGTGTATAGATGTAAATGTGTGTAGATGTACGTGTGTAGATGTAGATGTGCGTAGATGTACGTGTGTAGATGTCGATGTAGATGTATGTAAATGTGTGTGTAGGTGTGTGTAAATATTTCCATAGTGCAGCCAAAAGCTCAAATTGCGTCTGAGTGAAAAACACAAACTCTGTGTAAAGTGTTTGATAATGAAGCGGCTCTTGAACGCCCTCACTCTCTCTCTCTCTCTCTCTCCTCTCACACTAAATTAAAGTGTTTAATCACGGATTCTTCACACAGCGTGATAAAGACATGTGATTATCATCTTTTTATTCTCTTTCAGTCCCATGCCTTCGTCTCTGCGTCCTTCTTTTCTTCTTCCAATTACACTAATGAAGAAAGGCTTGTTTAGTCCCCGGAGACGCTCTGAAGAAGACAAGGACCTGAACTCTGAGAAGTGTTTAATAATTCAGAGCTTTTGGACACGGATGAAACGGGCTGCAGCATATTGTTTCAATCAGGCCGACCGTTAAAGCGGCGCTGAGGTTTGACGTCTGCGGCGGAATCGATAAAAACAGGTTTTCCACAGATCCTGTGTGGTCCGACCGCGTCTCTGTTCACTAAACATGGAGGCCGAGCAGGACAATGACTCCAAATGTGTTTATCTGCTTCTACTGATACACATAAACACAGAAACACACACTAAACCGTGCTGCGGTCAGACCCCGCCCATCTCCACGCCCTCATCGCCAAACCCCAAAACCAAACTCCGGCCTCTCTTCTCCAATTACCTTTCTTCCCACAGCATCACCAAACCAGAACCATCGCAACGCTCCCACACCCCCGGACCCCTCCTACCAAAGGTTTCCATGAGAAACACACACACACACACACACACACACACACACACACATTAAATGGATTTATGATCTCTTAAACAGACTCAAATTAAGAACAAATCAAACTGAACAAACTCTGAACTCGCTCTCAGATCCTCTGGTTCTGGTTTCTGTGGTTCTGATTTAGAAAGGGGGACCGGGCCAGACCTCAGACCTCAGACCGGGTCCTTTAAGTCATCCGCACAGTTTCTGTTCAGGACGCACAAAGTTATCGGCGTCTGCAGACGGGAACATTTCTGCAGATATTGATCAGATGATCAGATTATCGTCAACAAAGACTGATTATTAAACAGTGTGTGTGTGTGCGTGCGTACGTGCGTGTGAGCGTGGAGAGAATATAGAAACGCTCTCATGTGGTCGACATGTAGCTGAAGGTTAATACTGAAATACGACACGGTGGTTGCAGGAGTTAAGTCGATACTTGAAGCCACTGAGATGTTTGACCTGGAGTAACCTGGTCGACGCGCCGCTCTGCTGAGTTTTCCCGTGAGTTGTGAGGATCAGTGAGAGTCCGGACGCTGTTCCTCGGATTCAGCAAACCAAAAATTTATTGCGATGAACAAACGATTCATTTTACGACAGATATCCAACACTGAACAAAGAAGGAAACCGCCGGCAGTTAGCGCCATGACGGTCAAAAACCTTTTGTCCTTCTGGGTCAAACCCCTGCCCACAACAGTGACATGGCTACCTTCATCTCTGAGCCCCCAGATAACAAGACAGCGACACCTACAGCACAAAAAGTGAACTGCAACTCATGATATGTATCACAGCAACATATTTGGCTCCTTCAGTGGTGTCAGAGGTCACTATACTGACAGCAAGTGTCTTCATAAAGACCTGAGATCCTGATCCTGGACTCTAAACAGGCCTGCAGTGACACAGTGAGTCCACGGTCTCCACAGTGGGAGAGATGAAGAAGAAGCAGCAGCTGTTAGCGAGCTAGCTTTAGCGTCCCTTTTTTTACTGTAACCTTTATTGAAGCAGGAAAGTCCCACTGAGGTGAAAAATCTCAGACACACACTGAGGACCACGGCTCAGTCCAGGTGAACTCCAAACAACAACGTTATCTGTTGGATTTAACAACCTTCAGAGACTCCGCCTCCTTCAGTTCAGGGTCGTTTTAAAAACCAGGACCAGCAGGTTTGATGAGGAAACATCTCCTCTGGGTTTATGATGTTTATTTATATTTACAGCTGATGAAGTAACGCCTGAATTCACTCTTTTCACTGATTTTGTTGTTTATTTTTAAACTTTTCCATCAGTACCAGGATAAAAAAAATAGATATGTGTGAATTATAAAATGTATTCAGGGTCACATGTGTGAAAAAAAAAAATCAACAAATGTTTTTTCCTGTAAATACGGTGGTGAAGTTGGTATCAGGTTGGATATATTTTCCTGTAAATACGGCGGTGAAGTTAGTTTCAGGTTGGATATATTTTCCTGTAAATACGGCGGTGAAGTTAGTTTCAGGTTGGATATATTTTCCTGTAAATACGGCGGTGAAGTTAGTTTTAGGTCGGATATATTTTCCTGTAAATACGGCGGTGAAGTTAGTTTAAGGTTGGATATATTTTCCTGTAAATACGGCGGTGAAGTTAGTTTTAGGTCGGATATATTTTCCTGTAAATACGGCGGTGAAGTTAGTTTCAGGTTGAATATATTTTCCTGTAAATACGGCGGTGAAGTTAGTTTTAGGTTGGATATATTTTCCTGTGAATACGGCGGTGAAGTTAGTTTCAGGTTGAATATATTTTCCTGTAAATACGGCGGTGAAGTTAGTTTCAGGTTGGATATATTTTCCTGTAAATACGGCGGTGAAGTTAGTTTTAGGTTGGATATATTTTCCTGTAAATACGGCGGTGAAGTTTGTTTAAGGTTGGATATATTTTCCTGTAAATACGGCGGTGAAGTTAGTTTTAGGTCGGATATATTTTCCTGTAAATACGGCGGTGAAGTTAGTTTTAGGTTGGATATATTTTCCTGTAAATACGGTGGTGAAGTTAGTTTCAGGTTGGATATATTTTCCTGTAAATACGGCGGTGAAGTTAGTTTAAGGTTGGATATATTTTCCTGTAAATACGGCGGTGAAGTTAGTTTTAGGTCGGATATATTTTCCTGTAAATACGGCGGTGAAGTTAGTTTTAGGTCGGATATATTTTCCTGTAAATACGGCGGTGAAGTTAGTTTTAGGTTGGATATATTTTCCTGTAAATACGGCTGTGAAGTTAGTTTCAGGTTGGATATATTTTCCTGTAAATACGGCGGTGAAGTTAGTTTTAGGTTGGATATATTTTCCTGTAAATACGGCGGTGAAGTTAGTTTTAGGTTGGATATATTTTCCTGTAAATACGGCAGTGAAGTTAGTTTCAGGTTGGATATATTTTCCTGTAAATACGGCGGTGAAGTTAGTTTTAGGTTGGATATATTTTCCTGTAAATACGGCGGTGAAGTTAGTTTCAGGTTGGATATCTGACGGACATTCTCTGAGGATCTACCGGTGTCTTCTCACTCTCCATAACCGGGAATAACAACAGCAGCGCGGTTAAATCTACTCGACACCCTCACTGTCAACGTCGGTGTTGAATAAGGGACCGTCAATAAATTACCGGTTGATGTTCTCAGAAAAGGCTGTTTTCCTTCAATAGCTTCACTGTCATGTGACCAAAAGACCTAAAATTGATTTCTAATAATAGTACTAAGGTCGATCAATAAGACAAAGATTATTTGATCAGTTTTCATTGTTCTCCTGAAGTCCCTTGTGTTCTCCTTACTTTTTTAACTCAGGAGAACATGTGAACAAAGTTAGAGTCAAACCCTTAACACCTTTATTCTCGCAGGTTGTGAAGCTGTTGACAGCGCCCCCTGGGCTCCCTAATTTAACCCTGTGAGAGAACATGGCGTCTCAGTGACGACTTCCTGTGTCAGCGCAGAGACTCGTCCGTGTACAGTGGCGTTCAGAGTCTGGATTAGACCATCAGTGGACTCCTTAGAGCGGTCTGACTTTAGATGAAAGGGGTTAAAGCGGGATGATCAGGATTAATCTGCCTGGGTAGAACAGGTGTTAATCCCTTAAATTAGCCGTGTAGCTAAGGCCGGCCCCTCTTTCATCTCCACCGCCGACTCCTGGAGACCGGAGACGAGCTGTTGTTAACCCAGCAGAATTAGCCGTCCTCCTTCACCCTGACCGCCCTGATAACGGCGCCGTGGCTCTAATGCATCATCAGAAACATGATGTCATTTACATGCCGGCGGCGTTTGGACTCCAACAGCTGTGCTCGCTCTCTCGCTCTCTCTCTCTCTCTCTCTCTCTCTCTCTCTCTCTCTCTCTCTCTCTGAAACACAGGTTAGGCAGCGCTGAAACACTATCAGCAGGCTTACAGATATCCTCGGGCAAGGTGCAGCAAATACTCTGCCGGAAATAAGACGGGTCTGCGCCATGATACTCATCATGTGGAGGCTCAGGAGGAGCTGAGGGAGCAGAGGGAGGATTTGAAGGAGGAGGAGGAGGAGGAGGAGGAGGGGGCTGACTCGACTTTAAGGACAGGAACTCCTGAGTCCTTTCCTATCAAACTCCTCCACCAGCCTCCTGTCAGACCTCCTCCTCCTCCTCCTCCTCCTCTCCTCCCTCTGACTTTTCTCCTCCAATCATCTTCATCCTGCTCCAGCTCTGCCTGCTGCTGTCACCGACAAACCTCCACCTGACAGGAGTCTCCCCCGTCTCCTCCTCACCTGTCTGACCACTAAAGACGCCTCATTAGCATTCATGGTCATATGGGGGGGCGGCGGGGGGCTGAGACCGCTTCCCACAGAGCTCCTGTCTGCTTCCACAGCCACCAGTTTGGCCAGTGGGTCTGTCCCAGTTCAGACTCCCAGTCCCAGGCTAGACCTCGCCATCTGGCTGGTCTGGAAACAGTCGGGCCCTCTCTCTCCGACAGGAAGATGACCAGAGAGGAAGGTCAGGCCGCGCTGTGACGGCCAGGAAAAGAGGGGTGTGTGTGTGTGTGTGTGTGTGTGTGTGTGTGTGTGTGTGTGTGTGTGTGTGTGTGTGACAGATAGACTAATAGATGAGAGCGACAGCAGAGACAGAGAGGACACTGTTTCCTTTAAGCTGCCACCCTCACTGTGACTCACTGACGGATGAATCTCTGCCTCCACACTGCACCTACGTGCATGTGGGCGTGCACGTGAGCGCGCATGTGTGTGTGTGTGTGTGCTGCATATGTGTGCACGCATGACCACAATCCCACTCATCTCAAACACATCATGACAGCTCACAGCCGGAACCTAAGCTTCATTTACCCACAATGCAGCAGTAATGTGGCGCTCCTCAGCAGGGCGCCCGGAGTGGACGACCATTTGGAAGGTCATTAGAAATGCGGTTTGAAAAGCGCACGGCGCCTGTGTGCACGCTGGAGTCGTTACATGTAAATGACTCCAACACTGCGGAGATTATGAACGTGTTCATCTTGGATCAAACAGAGAGGAGGAGGAGGAGTTTCTCCAGAGCGCCGGTTTCAGAGCGCCGCACGCCTTTTGTTCATCCGTGCAGCCGCAGAGAAGACAAAGAGGAAGATGATCTTAGAGCTGGATCCTGGAGGAGAAGAGGAAACATCTCAGGCTCCTGAACAAACACTCGGAGGAGGTTCCTGGGCCGTTCTCTTCATGAAACCATGAACCAGATATCAGGGAGGAGCTAAAGCCGCCGTTTACACGCCATGTTGTTAACACACACCTGCACGAGTGTTGGCGGTATGACGGGATAAAAGTGTAGAGAGATGTCTGCGCTCGCCGACAGGAAAAACGGAACGCGTCAGTTTCGGAGCGTTGCCAGCGTATCGTGCGGCATTTGTTCGCTCCGTCTGATTGGTCAGGTTTGGGTGCGCTCCCTATAATCACCAGCGTGTCCAGCTGACAGCTCGGCGTAGTTTAAACGAAATAGAAACAGCTTCAGTGGTGGTGGTCATGGCGGACGCGGAGATTAGCGTCAGTACCGAACAAACGGAGGCGGGCCGACCCACCCGACACGAGGACGAGGAGGAGGAACGCGTTCTGAAAAAGGGCGCGAGCCGAGACATCGGATTACCGGAGATTCTTTAGATTCAGAAAATCCGACAATGATGCCCAGAAACCGTCTCTGCTGTAGAACTGGGCCGTGTTTTCAGGACCACCTGGATCCGACTCCTCATCAGGAAGGTCAAAGAGGACCTGAAGGTCTCTGAGGCGGTTCTGATCCGGTTCATCGGTCAGAAACTTCTTCCTGCTCACGTTGACCTTCAGGTTTCAGAGCTGAAGGTCGACTCTGATACACCGACCTGATATGGTTGGAGTAAATGTAGATTTGAGCGTGGAGCGGTGGCGGTGGCGTTGAGAGGAGCCGAGCTCAGCAGTTTTCCGAGTGGGTTGGTCTTTCTCTGACCCCCATTCTTCCTCCTCCCTCGGTCTCTCCATCTCTGTCTCTCTCCTCCTCCCCCTCCCCGTCCGTCCAGCACTTCTCTGTCCTTCATCCTCATTCTATTTCATGCCTCGTCCTCCTCTCGCTCGCTCCTCATCCATCACCACCCGCACACTGCGCCGCTGCATCGCCCCCCCATCCCTCCGCCCCCCCCCCCCTCCAGTACCCGGCCCAGCCTGATCCGGCCCTCGGCGCCGCCTCAGTCCGCTGTGACTCATCACTTCATCTGATTCAGTTTGTCATTCATCACATCACAGCGTCTCTATCACCATCTGCCTGCAGCACATCAGGACGACACCGCCACCGCCACCGCCACCTCCTCCATCAGCCATATTTCTCCTCCTAACCGGGTCACGCCCTTTTGTCCCAGAACTCCATAAAAACATGAACCCGCTCGTTACTGAAGGCCGCTCCTAATTAAGATTCATGCGCTGGTACTTCCTGTGACAGCGACCTCTCCGCTGCGTTTATCATCAGCTGGACTCCATCACCTCATGGGAAACGGAGTCAAACGAAGACCCAGGACTGTGACTACAAACATGGCCGCCTCTGTTCAGAGGACCTCACACTCCGACCTCTGACCTCACTTAATTAGCTTCTTAATTATTATTAGTCCAGAGCAAAACTCGGCCACGCTGATTATAGTCGGACTAAGGTGTTTACATGACCTTCAGTTGTCCGGTCTTTATCGGAATAAGACGATAATTCGGTTTTCTTGAGTGTCATGGAAACGGACTGACTGATTTCTAATTCTTCGTTAAAAGGACAACTGGACTGAGTTGAGACGTTTCGCCTAACTAAGTCCAGTTGTCCTTTCCATGCGGAGATTCCCACTTCAGAGTCATGTGACTAACCTGTTGGACAAAGTTGGTTTAAAATCATCTAAAAAAACATAAAAATCTGTTTTATTTCCGATCATTTTAACCCTTAAATGTTTTTTTAACTTCGTCCCTCAGAGTTCGGAGTTCTCCGACTCTGATTATAGTCGGACTAAAGTGTTTACGTGACCTTCAGTTGTTCGGTCTTAATCAGAACAGGGACAAACGTACATTTTAAGTCTTGCTTTTATATGATTAACTTGAAGTGTTTTAACTTTTATCTCTTTCTAGTTTTAATCTCTGGATCATCCTTTATTTTGGTGCTCTTATTTTAGTAACTTCAGCTGTTGTTTTGATTTCATTTTATTGATTATTTCTTCAATTTTATTCTATGTTTCTTTGTTTTTAGATTTTAACCTCCAGTGTTTCCTAATTTTAAGATAAGGATGTTTCCTCAGTGCGCACTTTGCTGTTTCCTTTTTAAGTTCATGTATTTTAATTCTGTTTCTTCTGCGTTTAGATCGTGGGAATGAGGGGCTGGGGTAGATTTCTGTATTCTTTGTTTCTGATTAAATAATTCGATTTTCTCAGGTGTAAACGTACCGACTGTTTCCTCTCTCCATCCGTCTCTCCGCTGATGTACGAGGTTTCCTGAGAAGGTTGGAGGTGAGAATCCTGAGACGATGACCTTCGTGGCGTTGGAGCGAGCGCCCGTCTCTGCTCCTCCTCCTCCTCCTCACACTGTAAACATGTGCCTGACTCACGCTGACTCAGCAGAACGTCAGCAGACTTTAATTACGGTGTTTATTTTGGGTCTGGTCTGAGCGCACAGGTGCCCCAGAACCAGAACTAAAGCCTGTTTGGATCCCCTCTGAGCCGATCTGCCGCCCCTCCCTGTAAACAGACCTCGCCTCCGCACGCTTTGATGTGGTCGGAGAAAAAGACCCGGCAGCGGCGGCGGCGGCGATGATGTAATTCTGGTGTAAGCCGACTTTCTGAGCGTTGGAGTTTCCACGTTGAGTCCCAGCTGAAGCTTCCACGCCCCGCTCCGCTCAGAGGGGCCGGGCAGCCCTCAGAAAGTCCCCCTGAGGAGCCCAGCAGATGTGAGGATGCTTTGTGTGCATCCATCATGAGTCGTGTTTCATCACTCTCGTTCTTCACGGTGGGTGGTCCGTGTGGACGAGGAGCATCGCTGAGGAGCATCGCTGAGGAGACGCACACCAGCAAACAGCTTCAGACGCAAACTCAGCGAGTCAAAACAGACTCCAAAACATCCGTAAAGATCTGGAGGGTCAGACTTCCTCTGTGAGAAGATAAAGATGAATCAAGATGAAGATCCAGAAGATCAGAGGAGCCGCCGCCTCCTCCTCCTCCTCCTCCTCCTCCTCACACACACACATGACTAAACACATTAAATGTTCACTGATCAGTTTGGACACAGATTCATTAACGCTTGAATCAGACGTCTGAAGAGAATCTTCACCTCCACTCTGCAGAGAGAAGCTCCGTCACAGGCGGAGCAGAAGTGGCGCTCCAGGAGAGATTACGACAGTAAACGGCGTCTCAACAAGAAGTGGATTTAGGGATGAGAAGTGGATTTTCTCATCAGCTGAATTCTCTATTCAGGCGGTTTTTTCTCCTCTTTATTCAGACGCTCTGAAGCAGGAAGGCTGTTTAACTACAGAGAGGAAGTGTCTGCTGACACACCAACACTTACAGCCTCTTTCACACTCTGACGGCGGCGGCGGCGGCGGCGGCGGAGCACGCTCAGATCTGACAGGTGAAAACTGGCTGTTAGAGCGTCAGAGTGAGGTGTGGAGTCTGATTATTACTGAGGCATGAAGGACACCTGCTGAGCATGAACGTGAGGAGAACAGGCTGGACCTCCTGAGCCTCCGTAGGACAGAGAGGGGTGACCATGAGGGACCATCAGGAGGCGTTTATAGAACACAGAGAGTTTCTGTTCTCTTGACTTTTCTTCTTATGGATCCATCTGAAACTATTGATAACTGGGGATGTAATGATTATCGGTAAAATGATAAAATGTCTGACAGTTAGAACTACCGGTTAATTTTTAATTCCTGTTAAAACCGTGTTTGACTGTCGCTCTCTGGAAAAGCTCACAGTGATTCTGCTCAGACAGGCTCACTGTGCTGCAAACAACCTGTAAATATGAAGAGAATCACAATAATGGTCATAATAATCCTGATGTGAAATGTTCATATCGTTACGTCTCTATTACTTAAAATAATTATTCTCCTAAAGTAAAAACAGAAGGAAACTGAAGCGTCTTTAAAAACTGAGTTTAAGGAACAGAAATGAAAATGTGTTTTAGAGATCAATAACTTCAGACGGAGGAGAGGCTGGA